TAAGCAGGAATATGAGTAACGTTACCGTTAGTGGATGTGTAGACGGTAAAAAGCGCATACTGACTGTAGATACGGGCGCATCACATTCCATAATTCGATCTGATCTGGTTGAGAAAGAAGTGAGACCGTTAGCTGAGGCAAAGTTGCATACTGCAACTGGAGAAGATACCCTAGTTCACGGAAATAAAACGTGCGAGATCGTAATTTGAAAGGCAGCCGTGTTACACAATTGTATAGTGGCAGATATCGTTGACGAAGTCATAATTGGAGTAGACTTTCTAGCAAATCAAGGAATCAAAATTAACATGAAAAATAGGACTATGTCCTATAGAAATATGGAAGTACCACTTATGTTCGGTTACAATAATAAGTACAACATTAGACGAGTGATAACAACATAGAGCCAGCAGATTCCACCAACATCAGAAGTAGTTATTTGGGCAGAAATAGATGGAGACTATGGGCCAAACAAGTGGTGGATTGTTGAGCCCACAAGACAAAAAAAAGACTGCTTTCAGCGTTGGAGGTGGTCTATGGCAATTTACCGTAATGCCCTTTGGATTATATAATGCTCCTGCTACTTTTGAGAGACTTATGGACCAGGTAATAAAAGGATTACACTGGAAGACCTGTTTGGTGTATGGATGCTAGTGGATTTGCAGTAAAAGACATTCTATCACAAGTCATTGATGGGCACGAGAAAGTGGTTGCGTATTACAGTCAGACCATAAGCAAGCCAGAGAGAAGTTATTGTGTTACTCGGAGGAAATTACTGGCTATGGTGAAGTGCATCAAACATTTTCATCGTGGGTTGAGAGACCCCAAAGTTGTGACTTCTCTATAGAACATCGCAAAGGTAGTAGTTATGGAAATGCTGATGCTATGTCCCGCTGGACCTGTAATCTGGAATGCAGACATTGCTCAAAAGCTGAGGCCAAAGAAGACATTATAGATGTCCGATTAATGACTATACCATCAGACTGGGTTTCGGCGAAGCTACGGAAATGTCAGCAAGAGGATCCAGATTGGAAAAGTGTAATACACGGATTGAAGATGAATAAACGTCCAACGAGAGAAGAAATAGTAGTCATGGACTATTTCAGCAAATGGCCAGAGGTATACGCAATTTCTAACCAAGAGGTAGGAACAGTAGCGGATGTATTCATCAACAATTGGGTATCGAGATATGGTGTTCCATTAGAAATACATTCTGAACAAGGGAGACATTTTGTATCAGCTCTAATACAGGAGATATGCCAGAAGCTGGGTATCCGGAAAACCCGTACAACTCCACTACATCCGCAGTCCGATGGCATGGTAGAATGATTCAATCGAACTTTGGAAGAACATTTAAGGAAAGTTGTGGACAAGTATCAAAAAGATTGGGATACCCATATATCCTTGTTCCTGATGGCTTATCGGTCTGCTGTACATGAAACAACTGGACAGACTAGAGCAAGGGTAATTTTTGGTAATGATCTGCGACTACCGATTGATTTAAAATTTGGAATTAACGCCAACGGAGGAACGAATACTAAGGAATTTAATAGCATCCTAGAAGACGAGATGAGGGATATATATGATATGATGAGACAGCACCAAAATAATGAGCGATAAGAACGAAAAAAATATACGAGAAGGCAATAACCTCAGAGGGTTTTATTGAAGGCGATTGGGTATTGTTATATAACCTACAACGAAAGAAAGGGTTATCTCCCAAATTACAGTGTAATTGGGAAGGACCATACCAGATTAATAAACGTCTCAATGATGTAGTGTATCGCATACAGACCATTGGAAGTGTGGCGAACACGAATACCAGAACAAATCAGAATCGAGGATAAACTGCCAGAAGCAACTAGACAGCGAATTCGTAGTTGCTGGAATGTTCTAGTAGCGAACTTTTGTTAAAAATTTACTTTATAAGGGCTGCCGGATTGTGCAGCAGACACAGTTCTAATTACAGTGTTGCCGTGTAAAAAGCAATTTAGCTATAAGCAATAAGTTGTAAACTCGAATATCGAGCAATAAGTGTTAAGTTGTTGGAATAAAGATAAGTGTATATCCATTAAATTGGACTTTAATTTAACAATACAGTGATCGAACTCAATAGTGAGTTACAGATAGACGATTTATCGAGAAATCCGTTGTAATATTAATAGTGTTTCTAATAGCTTTGTTACCTAACGGTTGCTTGCATCACTAAAGCATAATGACAAAACGACTTGAGTTATGACAGTCTGTCCGTCTGTCTGTCGTTCAAGCGATAACTTGAGTAAAAATTGAGATATATTTATGAAACTTGATACATATGTGTATTGGCACCCGAACTACTGTTACGTCTACAAAACGGCATTGAACACAAACCAATAAAGAGCAATAAATTAAGATACAAACCTGTAATTTAGTACAGGGGGTCGCAAGGGCGAGGTAGACTTTTAGGCTGAACATTTTTTAAAACTGGGAGAGGCCACGCCCCTAAATGATTAAATTTTTCCAAACGGCTAAAGCTGAATCTACTAAATTTGCTGAGAAAAAGACTCATAAGTGAAAATCAGGTAATAACTTTACTTACTCCCGATATAACGGTTATAAAGAAAGCTACTTAAAGTCTCACTGAATAAATGCGCCAGAAGCATCAAATTTCCCAATCAAGATGTTAGGGAATAATGTCAGAATGTATTGCAAATAAAGTGTAAATTAATAACCAACTTTACAATATCACTGCGCCATCGTTGAATAAGAAAATGTCCAAAAGCATCAAATTTTTTTGTGATGTGCGATTTTCTCTGTCACTGCGCATCGACTGCTGGTTTAATGCATTTTAAAATATGAAAGTATGATAAATATTTCGGATGCATTACAGTTCTTATACATTGCAATTGACGGTTTTGCCAAGCTTACATTAATATTGTAGAAATCGGACTATAACTTTTCAAGGGACCAGACACTAAACATGTAGTGCATATGGCTGATATTTTATCGAACATATCGGTTAATCTTTGTGCTCTTGTATTGAAATTCGGAAAGAATATATTTGTGATAACATGTCATTGTGGAAAACAAATGGAAAAAAATGAACTATCCAGCTTCCATATACCAGGTTAGGTAAATAGGCTGATTTCTCGTGAGGTCACAAATAACCCTACTTGGACAGCCAGAGGCGCTTATCTGTTGTGATGCTCAGAACGCCTAGGTATGAAACAAAAAGACCATCGCATATCGACAAAATTTCTAGAGCCTGCCACAAATTTATAAAGGCGGCTTAAAGCAATTCCAATATCAACAGCCCATTCGCCGGATTCATAAAAAGTATGGCCGAGACGATTCAACCTTAGTCAGGCGAAAGCTGGACAGTGGAGGAGAAAGTGTCTAGATGTTTCCACATCATCTTCGTCATTGCAACTTTGACAAGTTGTGTCCTCCAAAATTTTTAGCCTCACAGCGTGAGTGCCAATGCCACATTTTCCAGTTAGGACGCCTATCATTGCGGCGATGTGAGCCTTGCTAAGAGCTAACAGTTCAATGAACCTTTTACATTCCACTCGGGGCCAAAAGGCTTTCGTAAGCCTACAAAAGTTGATTGCTGACCGACCCTTGCTGAGGTCACGCAAAACCCAGTGATGCTAAAAGAAGCCGCACTTCGGAAAAGTACATCTGCTGCTACGTTGATGGCTGCCACTTCAGTTTGAAAGACACTACTGTGGTCTGAAACAAGAGTTGATCGAGAGGTCCCGACAGAAGATTCCTTCTCCAACCTTCTCCTTAAACTTCGATGCATCCGTGAAATAAGCGCACAGCGCCTCTCCTCCAGCGACTTCGCACCACCCACATATCTCTCGGAGGTATGTGCCGCTAGGAGTAGGTTCCACGACACACTGGTCCAAATTATCAGGGATACAGTCAAGGTCAGAGATGTCAACGGGTGCTATATGTATAATGGCATTAAATGCCATCTTTGGTGTTATACGTAGTGTGGCTTTACCAAGCACCCTCCACCAGAAAAATACACTATAGAAGAGGTTTCTGTAAACCAAAAATAAGGCAACCAATGCCTTTCTCGCCCTTTCCTCAACAGTGGGCTTCCATGAAAGCTTTCTATCAAGGATGAGGCCCAACTACTTCTCCTCTTTGACAGGGTGAAGTTGGGAGCCCCCAATGAGAGAAGGGGTGCATCCGGGATTTTATACCTACCCAGTTAAGTTTTATTTGGATTGACAGCTAAGCCGCTTCTTTCGGCCCAGCTAGCTACCACATCGGGTATCACCATACAGCCTCGCCTATGGAGTTCTTTAAATAGGTCATTTACTACTAACATCCAGAGTAAAGGAGACATAACCTACCTTGCGGGGTGCCTCTATTGACCTTTCATAGTGCACGTGCACTGCCCCACTCCACCACTACGCTAATTACCGGCCTTCGGAATGAACCCCACCTTTATCTGCCTCCAAGACCTGGGAATGTGGCGTAATCTAACACTCGCGTAGAAGCTATATGACACCTTTACCGTCCGCTGAAGTTGCGCAGGTATGATGTCATCAGGTCCGGGAGACTTGAATGGTATGATCGAATTTATCGCCCATGTGAGGGGACGCTCATTCAAAGGATCTAAGAAGGCTGTACCGTCAATACATCCACCATCCTCTTTAGACAGCTGGTCTGAACTGAAGACAGATCCGTCGGTCGACGATCCGCCTTCAGGACTTACCACGTCCGATACCAAACGATATCAAATTTGATTGCAATATTTTCACGATTTCGTCGAATAATGAATGTTGAATGTTTTCACAACCGTTTTTAATAAAAAGTTTTTGTAATACCTGAATGTATTTCCCAGGCGTTAATCCTTGCATGTTGCGAGAGTATAAAATGTTTAGTTAAACCCGAATTTAGCCCTTCCATACTAAATACATTAAAAGCTTATTTTTGTATTCTTATATATATACAAACCTCTACATACTACATATATACATATACTGAATACTAATAAAAAATTTCAGATTTTTCGATGGTAAGGACTACCTTATTGATACTTTTGAGAAAACTCTTCCAATGTCAACGTGTAGCTTGGGATTTATGATAACGCAAGAAAACAAATTTAACAATTGTAAACAAGAGCTAAATGATACAGTGCCAATCATATATTTAAGGACTTATAGAGATGTACCGGATATTAAACAGGTTTTTCACTAACCAACAGCCAAATAATTTTCTTAAAGATCTTTTAAAGCTATATTTTTATTAATTTATTAATTTAGATCTGCGCAAACATATGCAAGATTTATAAAACAATCGCAGCATATTTAAGTATTTTGCTACCCTTGGAAAAATTTTATATAGTAACTCTACCCGAAGTTTCAACAGTTCGGCCGCTAAGCAATTGGGGAATATTGATTTTAAGGTAATGTGAAAGTAGCTTAATAAAAACAAAGTTCTACATTTACTTATTTTTCATAGCGAGAATGACCTGATGCAAATTGGGAATTTTACCTTGATTCAGGAGTTAGTTTACCAATGGATTGGAACTTGGAAAACACCTTCTTGGTGGAACGAAATACAAATAAACAAAGCCATTGTAAATTTTGTTGCAGTTGACATCGCATTACAGGTAAGTAATAGTTGTTTTTAATGAATAGTCAAATTGCTCGAGAAAGTTAAAGCTAAGACGAAAGTCATCACCCAATTCGTCCTTTTTACTCATGGACTCCAGCGTAAACGAATCTAACAACAATCATCATCACTAACTATATTGCTAATTTTGTTAAGAACGTGTATACCGTGTATAAAACTCCGTGTATAATTTCAAGTTACAATATTGATATAATCAATTATTGCTTTCATTTGCCAAACACTAAAGAGAGTTAATATACTGATAACCCAACAAAGTGAAAACTATGAAGAAAGATCACTTTAGCGCAATCGCAAAGGGCCGAACTCCACGTGACGCGGCTCTGTACCACGCTTTATCGATTATTTTTTCGCAGCTACCGGCGTGGATCATGACCCAAGAAAATACAATCTGGTCATAGCTCTAGCAAGTTAATGGACTTAAAAGCAATCATCGATTTCGCGAATTATATATTTGTGAATAGTAACTGTGGATCTTCAGGAAACTAAAAACACAACTAGTTTTTTCTCTTTGGCAAATAAGACAGCCTCTCACACTAGTTCGACAACTCGAGCTTGCTGCTATGTACCGCACATTCCAGCAATAACAATAGTTATACTTATAAATGTAATTATAATTACAGTGGCGATAATGCCATAAGTTATATTCTTATGATATTTTAACTCTAATATTTCTTTGATGTTTTTAAAATTATTTAAAACAATATTATCAAAGCTTAATTTTGTTTCATAAGTTTGGTTTAACATCCTCACAGGATTAGTTTACTAGTTTCTCAAAAAATTTGGTTTTGTAGTTTTGTTTTTTTGATTAATTGAATTTATTTTTATTTTTATTAATTGAATTGAATTGCAATGTGAAGTTCCTTTCATCACAAGTCTGAATGAGACTTTCATTATGTGCATTCTTTATTATTAAGGTGTCATCATATTTCTTTAATTAGTTAGAATTAGCGTTCTATTATTATACATAAATTCACAGTCATCAGATATATTTTCTGATAATTCTTATAATTCTCAAATCATCTTCGTGATTTATTAGTAAGTTTTGTTTATTTGGTAATGGCGTAGTTAATTTTACATTTTCTTTAAATACATTGGCCCGTGAATTAGCATTTTCTTTTTATGTTTCACCATTATGTACTATTATGCTCAACCTCTCATCCTCCTCTTCGGTGCCTAACTTCTCTGCTTTAGATAATATAGGAGGCCTGTTTATGTTTGCTACATGAATGTTTTGAAGGGGATAATTCGTAAATACGGTTCGTCCTTGTGTCGTACACTGTACCTATTTCATTCTTGTACTAAGTGTTGTTTCACCTGGTCTATTGCTTTTTTTAAAATGGTTCGATCTATACTATTTTTTGCATTATTGGGTGTACATTTCATGGTTGAGTAGTATCGGTCATTACAGTTACCTAAACCGATCTGTATCCTCATTTCTGTTGACAGATCGGATCACTATAGCATATATCTGCCATACAAACTGAACGATCGGAATCAAGTACTTGCATGGAAAACGTTTTCATTTGACGAGGTATGTTCACAATATTTGGCATGAGTTTTTGTTAGAAAAAGTAATGCAATCTCCGAAGAAATTGTTCAGATCGGATCACTATAGCATATATCTGCCATACAAACTGAACGATCGGAATCAAGTACTTGCATGGAAAACTTTTTCATTCGACGAGATATGTTCACAATATTTGGCATAAGTTTTTGCTAAAGAAGTAATGCAATCTCCAAAGAAATTTTTCACATCGGATTACTATAGCATATAGCTGCCATATAAACTGAACGATCGGAATCAAGTGCTTGCATGGAAAACTTTTTCATTCGACGAGATATGTTCACAATATTTGGCATAAGATTTTGCTAGAAGAAGTAATGCAATTTCCAAAGAAGTTTTTTCCTGTATACTTGTTATTTAGATACTTAATCGGGCAGTGATCAGTTACTATCTTAAATTTTGCTCCGTATATGTATCGTCTAAAATAAGTCACCGCCTAGATGATTGCAAGGAATTCCTTGTCTGTCGTTGCATATTTCTACTTATGATTGTTTAATGTTCTTGAGATGGCCTTGCTGTGAAAGAACAGCTCCAATAGCGAAATCGCTTGCATGAATAGTAATTGTAAATTTCTTGTCATATTCAGGAAATTTTAAAATTGGATGTAATGAGATAAGGGTTTTTAAATTTTCAAAGCTGGCTATATATTTTATTATTGGATAAGCTATTCTTAAATAATCTTTAATAAAGTTTCTATAATAGCCTGTGGTTCCCAAAACCCCTTTTAATTGCCTTTCTGTCGTTGTGATTGGTAATTTTTGTATGCCTAACATTTTTTTCGGGTTGGGTTTAATGCCGTCTTTTGTCAAAACGTGGTCCAAAAATTCGATTTTCCTTTTTAACAAACTACACTTATTTGCCTGAATTTTTAAGTTATTTTCCTGAAGCTTTAAAAAAAAGTTTCCTTGTAAATGTATTCTACTAGTGACGTAGAAAATATTAATATATCATCTAGACAGACTACACAAATTTTAATTTAACTTAGGATGTCGTTCATTACAATCTGAAAAGTGGCTGGAGCATTGTTAAGCCCAAAAGGCATCCTGCCGTATTCATACAGGCTTGCTGTAGAACCAAAAGCTGTTTTCTCTGTATCCTTTTCTGCCAATCGCTTCTGATGGTAACCTTTCGCTAGGTCTATGGTGCTAAAGTACTGTGAATTGCCCAATATATCTAAAATTCCGTCAATATCTGGCAAGGGATATTTATCGTCAACAGTAATTTTACCTACTGTAATTAACCACTAATCGAAGTTTGTTTATACCGCACCTATTTGATTTCTTTGGCGCAATTATTATTGGTGAGCTGTATTTGTTTAGACTTTTTCGAAATTTTAATTGCTTTTCGACTTCTTTAATTTGCATTTCCGCCTCTTCCGCATGTTTGGGTGGCAATCTGTAAATTCGGGAATTAATTTGCCGGTCCGTTGTTGTTTTAATTTCATGAACAACGGTATTCGTGTTTGTCAGATTATCTCCTTCTTTATAAATTACCATTCCGTATTTTTATACCCTGAACGGGTATATTAATTTTGCCACGAAGTTTGTAACACCCAGAAGGAAACGTCGGAGACCATATAAAGTATATATATAAATGATCACCGTGACGAGCTGAGTTGATTTAGCCATGTCCGTCTGTCTGTCCGTCCGTCCGTCTGTCCGTCTGTATATACGCGAACTAGTCCCTCAGTTTTTGAGATATCGATATGAAATTTTGAACACTTCATTTTCTCCCCAAGAAGCTGCTCATTTGTCGGAACCGCCGATATCGGACCACTATAGCATATAGCTGCCATGTAACTTGAACAATCGGAATCAAGTGTTTGTATAGAAAACTTTTTCATTTGACGAGGTATGTTCACGAAATTCAGTACGGGTTATTGCTAGAAAAAGTAATGCAATCTCCGAAGAAATTTTTCACATCGGATCACTATAGCATATATCTGCCATAAAAACTGAACGATCGGAATCAAGTACTTGCATGGAAAACGTTTTCATTTGACGAGGTATGTTCACAATATTTGGCATGAGTTTTTGTTACAAAAAGTAATGCAATCTCCGAAGAAATTGTTCAGATCGGATCATTATAGCATATATCTGCCATACAAACTGAACGATCGGAATCAAGTACTTGCATGGAAAACGTTTTCATTTGACGAGGTATGTTCACAATATTTGGCATGAGTTTTTGTTAGAAAAAGTAATGCAATCTCCGAAGAAATTGTTCAGATCGGATCACTATGGCATATATCTGCCATACAAACTGAACGATCGGAATCAAGTACTTGCATGGAAAATTTTTCATTCGACGAGGTATGTTCACAATATTTGGCATGAATTTTTGCTAGAAAAAGTAAGGCAATCTCCGAAGAAATTGTTCAGATCGGATCACTATAGCATATATCTGCCATACAAACTGAACGATCGGAATCAAGTACTTGCATGGAAAACTTTTTCATTCGACGAGGTATGTTCACAATATTTGGCATGAGTTTTTGCTAGAAGAAGTAATGCAATCTCCGAAGAAATTTTTCACATCGGATTACTATAGCATATAGCTGCCATATAAACGGAACGATCAGAATCAAGTTCTTGCATCGAAAACTTTCATTCGCCGAGGTATATTCACAATATTTGGCATGAATTTTTGTTAGAAAAAGTAATCTGCAATCTTCGAAAGTATTCAGATCGGATCTATAGCATATATCACCACCACCACAACTGGTGATCAGAATCAAGTACTTGGAAAACGTTTTCATTTGATGAGGTATGTTCACAATAATATTTGGCATGAGTTTTGTTGAAAAGTAATGCAATCTCCGAAATTGTTCAGATCAGGATCTATAGCATATATGCCACTAAACTGAACGATCAGAATCAAAATTATACTTGCCGGAAAACTTTTGTTCGACGAGATATGTTCACAACATTTGGCATAAGTTTTGCTAAAGTAATGCAATCTCCAAAATTTTCACATCAGTTACTATAGCATATAAGCTGCCATATAAACTGAACGATCGGAATCAAGTGCCCATGGAAAACTTTTCATTCGATGAGATATGTTCACAATATTTGGCATAAGTTTTGCTAGAAGAAGTAATGCAATTTCCAAAGAAATTTTTCACACGCATTACTATAGCATGTAGCCTGCCATATAAACGAACGATCGGAATCAAGTTCTTGCATGGAAAAATTGTTCATAGATAAAATATCTTCACGAAATCCGGCATTGATTTCTCTCAATTGCATATAGCTGCCATACAAACTGACAATCTAAATAAAGTTCTTATGAAAAATTGTTGCAATGTTATCTTCACGAAATCAAGATATCGCTACAATTTTCGAACGAATTGTTCATATCAGACCACTATATTAAACAGCTATCATAGAAACTGACCGATCAAAATAAATTTT